CTAATTTCTTGATTTATTTATTTTTTTTTGAGTTGGAGTCTCACTGTTGCCTAGACTGAGTGCAGTGGCCACTCCCGGCCACCGCAGCCACGACCTGCCGGGCTCCGGCGATCCTTCCGCCTCGGCCTTCCGAGTGGCTGGAACTACAGGCGCGCGCTACCACGCCCGGCTGATTTTCTGATTGATTGTAGAGATGAGGTTTCGCCAAGTTGCCCAGGGGGGCCTCGAACCCGCGGGCTCAGGCAATCTACTCACCTCAGCTTCCCAAAGGCGTGGGATTAGAGGCTGAGCCACCGAGCCCGGCTAGTCCCCCCTTTTCTGCACAGGTGGGTGACAATACCTGTGAAAAATCTTCCAGAATTGCCACATCCTTTGCTGTTTCCTAAAAACCCACGATGGTCCTTAGAGGAGTCACTGCTTTAAAAACATTTTTTTGGATAGAAATGAGATCTCAGTACGCTGCTCAGGTTGGCCTCGAACTCCTGGCTTCAAGGATCCTCACCCCTCAGCCTCCCAAAGTGTTGGGATTATAACCATAAGCCACAGTGCCTGGCCTAGGAGTGATTTATTTTTATGCTGCCACTGAGGGAGGGATTGGTATCTCTCTCCTTATATGGGCACAGGGAGTCTCAGAGAGGTGTGTTGTCTGCTCAAGGACATCGTGCGCCAAGCGGCAGGGGCTGGAAGCAGAACCCTGAGGTTCAGATTGTGCTCGTCCCCCTCCTGTCCCCGCAGCCCTCTTTCCTTCCGGGCACAATGGATGTTGCCGAGGAGCAATGTTCCTTGATAAGCCCCGGACAAAACACCCTCTCGTGCCACCGTTTCTCTTTCTGGGTACAGTGGACATTGTAGACAAGCAGTGTCCCTTGCTGAGCCCAGTGCAGGACACCTGCCCCTGCCAGCAGCCTGTCTCACTCCCCATGGGCTCCGTGTCGAGTCCTCCTGGGCTCTGCTCTGCCATGCACACCCAGAGCCGCTGCACGGCGTCCTGCAAGCAGCCATTCTGCACGCCTGCGCTCCCGTCCGCCCCAGCTGCCCCCACCCCGCCCACAGCCCTTCCAGAGGGTCCTCTGTGAGCCAGCCCCTTCCTAGCACCAGCCCCGTTGGCTGCACTCTGCCCTGCTGGCCCCTGGCTCTGAAGTCTTGGCTCAGACCTCTCTTCTCTGGCAGAGGGTGTCCCGGGACCCTGACGAGGTATGAGCCCCTGCTCGATGCCCCCTTCCCTAGTATGCTCATGCCACCCGGGGCCACCTGTTTACCGCTGATCCTCCCTGGTAGGTGGGTCTCAGGCAGTACCCTCTGCCCCGCCTCGTGGCACCTGGCACTCTAGACTCCCGGGTATTGAGATAATCTTCCTCCCCTGGAGGCTACAGGGGAGAGGCCAGGGCAAGGGGCAGCAGGTTCCCCATGAGTCTTGGGACAAAGGGCGGCGCCTACCTCCCTCTCGCTGCAGGATGTGGTGCAGGTGTACGATGTCCAGGATGGTCTCCAGGTGCTGCTCTGAGTAGCCCTTCCTCCGCATGTCCTCCACCGAGTCTGGGTAGATCACCTGGTCGCGCAGGGAGCCCACGGACATGTAGGGCCTGTGGGAAAGCTGCGTGTCCACAGAGGAAGGGCCGCTCACCACCCCGAGGATGCCCTGAGCCCGAGTGGGCTGCACAATGGGCTCCCAGACAGTGTCCACACTCCACGCCATGTGCACCCCCAGACATCAGCACCAGCCTGTGCGCGCGCATGCACGCGCACACACACAGACACAGACACACACACACACACACACACACACACACACACACGGGGTGTGTGCACACTCCCTGCACGCCTCTGCCATGGACAGGGAGTGGACGCCACAGGCCCTCGGGCTCTGGGGACAGCCCCTTGGTGTGCTCGCCTGGACCCCTGCTGGACTGCACAGGCAGGGGAAGTGGGGAGGGGCAAGGCAGGAGGAGGGAGGCAGGTGGGTCTCGGCCGGCCCTCCGCTCCCGCCAGCGCTCACCTCTGAGGGATGTAGAACATTCGCTGGGGCGGGGGCTTGTAGAGCACACCACCATACGTGGGCCACAGCCCGCCCAGGATGCGGAACAGGGAGCTTTTGCCGCAGCCGTTGGGGCCCGTGATGAGCAGGTGCATGCCTTCTTCCACCTGTGGAGGAGAACGTGGCACCTGAGCGTGTGGGCCCCTACACCCATGGCCTCCTTCCCAGCCTCAGGAAGCCCCAGCACCTGAGCCGCCGGGCAGGCCATTCCTGATCACTTGGGAAGGGCCTCTGTGGCCTGGGGGATGGGTCTGGCATCCAGCGCTGACAAAATGCCCGGCCCAGGACATGGGAATGGGTAAGACCCAGCCCAGTCCCCTCCAGGGGACTTGATATGTCCTCACAGCACGGGACCAGCACAAGAGGAGAGGCTTTCTTTGCCACACCAAATGGACGGCTGTGTTCCAAGCAGTCAGTGCCACCCTCCATCCCGCTGGACTCCCACCACACTGGGAACCTGAGAGAGGGTCGCATCTCCATCCCCGGAGGAACTGCCCCGACAGACACCTTCCTTACAGCTCTGGTTATAGAATACACCCCACTGCCTCCTCCCGCCCCCAAGTCCCTGCTGCCTCCACAGTGATCACGTGCCACAGAGATGCCGCTTTGGCCCCTGGGCCCTGACAAGGACCACAGGCCCCCTGATCCACAGATCTCATTATTCCTGCATAAGTTATAGAAATGCCCACTATGGGGAAAATGTCAGCAGGCTAGAGGTGGCCATGTGCAGGGAGGAGGGGATGGGGAGAGCGTGAGCATGGAGTCAGCACCCTGGGGCACAGATGACCAGGTCACCACTGCCATACTTGGCCCTTCCCTCACTATGCATGTTTCCTTACCTGTGAAACCCACCACATGGGGCTCCTGGGAAGATCTGAGGATGTGGCCTTTGGCTCACTTCAGGGTTATAGGTGGGATTGTGGCCCCCCAAATCCATTTGTTGGACCCTAACCTCAGTGTTTCAGAGTATGACTCTATTTGGTGTTAGGTCACTGCAGATGTCATTAGACCGAGATGAGGTCACACTGGAGTAGGGTGGTCCCTAATCCAATAGGACCAGTGTCTTATGCAAAGGGGACATGTGGGCACAGAGATGCCCAGAGGGAGGATGCCATGTGGAGGCAGAGCCAGAGGTCATGCTGATGCAGCAGGAGCCAAAGACGGCCAGCAGACCAGAAGCTGGGAGAGAGGCCAGGGCCGGACTCTTTCTCACGGCCCTTGGAAGGATACTGGGATCTCAGACTTCCGGTCTCCAGAACTGGGAGGCCATTCATTTCTAGTGTTATAGCCATTGGGTTTGTGGGCCTTTGTGATGGCAGCCCCAGTACACCCATACAGTTGGGGCTGGGTGTCACACCAGAGGGCTGTGCCTTGGGTCTTGCCACCACTGCCCCAAGATTTCCTGGGGCCAGTCTGGAAACCACCCACCTGAGACCTCCTGGTGGGTGGCTCCCCCAGTTACCCTCTGAGTGACCACTGCCAGGGGTGACAGAGCCCCAGCATGATCCCTCTTCTCTGCTTATTCCCCTGCCAGGCCAAGGCCCCTCGGCCCCTCCCCACCCCTGCAGGAGGCATTCTTCACCGTGCTGTCCGTCTACCAGCTCGTGATGGCTCCTGGGCAGAGTTTCTTTTGACCTCCACTACCCCCAGGCATGGTGACCACTTTTCTTGTGTCCCTGCTTTCCCCTGAACAGCTGCCAAACTGGGGGGCCTCTATAACACTTCTGTGTCTCCCCAAAGCGGAAACTCCCTGAGGGCAGGGCCCCCGATTTACTTCTGGTTTCTAGTGCCCAGCTCAAAGTTCGGGGATATTGGTTGAATGAATGACTCCCTCTCACTTCCTCCTCCCATGTCCCCAGCCTAGTCTTCCTCTCACTCTATCACTTCTGGCCCCATTTAAACCCATGGCCTCTCGGTGGCCTGTGGACAGCTCAGCTCCCAGGGATTCCTTTTCGTGGCCTTCCTGGGAACCCTCTTCAGTGGGCCAGGCTGTGTCCACCACACAAACCTTGTGCTGGGGGCTTCTCAAAGCACATGGGGCAGAACACCCCCCTCCCCCATGAGCTACACAGCAAGGTGTCCAGGTGGGAGAGTGGCTAGAGCTCAACCAGAGTCCCTGGCTTTCTCAGGAGGGGGGGGGGAGTTGGCAACGGACAACAGGAACGCGTGGGTGACCCTTGGCCAATCCTGGTAATCACTAGTCTCTTTTATCAGCCCTGACTCTATCACCCCAGAATGAACAGAGACATGTTGGTCTCTCACCTCGACCTTGGCCCACTTGCCACATAGCTCTGGGGACAATAGCTCTTGCCAGCACAGGCGGGTGGGAGGTCAGGGGTTGAGACCTGCAGATGTGGCCAGGCCAGGCGGCCCTCCCCCACAGGACCTACCCTGATGTTGAGGCTGGCCACCACCACCTCTCCTGCAGGCGTGATGATAGGAATGTTCTCACAGATGATCCCCTGCTCCACGTCCACCACCTGGCCTGCAGGGAGAATGGAGGAAGGAGGCGAGGGAGCAGCGCATGCCCTCTGCGTCGGGTGGGTTCTGCATGTCCCCGGCTGCACCTTCTTGCCCCTGGGCACGGGCCTATCTGCCCCAATAGCATGCCAGTGGATTCCCAACCAGCACCCTCGTTCCAGGACCCCGTGGGAACACAGCCAGGTCTCTCTCCAAGCCAGACTCCGCCCCTAGCACCTGGTACCGGGCCCGGGAACCTGAGGCATGAGCCTCTACTCCTGCTTTGCAGCCCACGGCTCCTAGTACCATCTCAAGGTGGCTGCAATACCCAGGGCCCTTTTCTTGGCACCCTGTTCTGCTGTAGCTGGCAGCTGGCATGCCAGGCCCTCCCATGCTGTCACACTGACTGCAACCTTCTCTTGCTGCCCTGTCTGGGTGCAGGATCCCCCACACCTGGGGACCACATCCCCCTTATTTGGAGAGTATAATCCAGGCCAGGAGCCCCAGAAGGGTGAATCAGCAGGGTGGCTGGCAGCGGCTGCTCTGGGAAGGAAGGCTGTTGGACCAGAAACCCTCCCCAGGGGCCCAGCTCAACCCGGCAGAAGTCCTCTCAGACCCTGCCAGGCTGTCCTTCCCTCCTGAGTCAACTGCAATGGGCTGGGCCACACGGCAGTCTTGGAGTGCTGGAGTGGGAATGGCCGGAGCCAGGGCGGCAAGTCAGTCTCACGGTGGGAAGGCAGAGACGGGCGGAGGCACTTCGCAGGGAGGCGCGGTCTTACCTCGGATCTTTAGGGACCCCTCCAGGCGTACGCCAGACCGTGCCATGGCCCCCGAACCTGCCTGAGCGTCCTCTGGCTCCCCAGGCCTCTTGAAGCGACAGTGCTGGACATCTTCAAACACCTGGAACATCTCGTGCACTCGGGCTGTGTAGCCAGCCAGCTCTGTCACCTGTGGGGAGGGTGGCCTGGCTCAGCCCTGGCAGCTGCGGGGAGAGGCATGGCAAGGGTGGGGGCTGGGCCGGGGGTACCTCCTTGTATGACGACATGATCCGCTCAATGGCATCTGCGGCCGCTGTGAGGAGGTTGCGGGCAATGGTGAAGGCCTCCGTGCGCTCGCTCACTAGCTCCTCCTCCTCCTTCTCCAAGGCTGCCTTCTTCACAGCCTCTGAGTCTGCGAGGCACAAGGGGGTGGGTGGCAGGGAGGGCAGAGACAACAGAAAGTCAGAAATGGGCCACTGGAAGGAAAGATGAAGCTCTTCGGCAAATGGTGCTGGGACAGCAGGATCGATCTATCTATCTAGCTATTCACTATCTATCTATCTATCTATCTATCTATTCACCCACTCATCCATCCATCCATCCATCCATCCATCCATAAAGGGGGACCCAAAAAACCCAGAATTTATTTTTAAAAAATGTATACTGGCTGGGCTCGGTGGCTCAGCCTGTAATCCTAGCATTTTGGGAGGCTAAGGCGACTGGATTGCCTGAGCCCATGGGTTCGGGACCAGCCCAGGCAACTTGGCGAGATCTCGTCTCTACAATAAAATAAACAAATAGCTGAGCATGGTAACGCACGTCTGTAGTTCCGGCTACTTGAAGGCTGAGGCAGAAGGATCGCCGGAGCCCAGCAGGTCTACGCCGGTGTGGCCATGAGCGTGTGTGCCACTGCACTCCAGCCTGAGCGAAGGAGTGAGACTCCAACTCAAAAAATAAAATCAAATAAAACAAAAATAAAAAAATGTATATTTATTCTTACATGTTTAAACTTTAGTCACCTTCAAAGTACTCTCTGTTGGATGCAATACACCTATGGAGGTGTTTTTTCCGCTGCTCAAAACAGTTTTTGAACTCATCACTTCTGATGCCTTTTAGTGCTTCTGCTGGTTTTTTGTTTTACCTCTTCCACATCGGCAAAGAAAAATAAAATAAAAAAAAAATCCCCCTTGAGGACTTTTTTTCATGGGGGAAACAAAAAGTTTGCTGGGGCGAGATCAGGTGAATAGGGAGGGTGGGGCATGGAGGTCATGATGTTTTTGGTCAAAAAATGCTGAACATTCATTCAGCCTGGTGTGGGCAGGTGCACTCATTAATCACCCATCATGAAATGGGCAAACGTGTTAAAAGAATCTAAAAAAAAAAAAAAAAATTCACCGAAGTCGAACGCAGCCTCTCACAGCACTAGCTGGTACACTGATGCCAACAGATTTCTAGAACCCTTATCTAGTGGGGGAAGCCTGGACTAGTAATACAAAGGGCCTGCCCTCCAAAAATAATTCTATTTTCTGGGCTCCTCCCTTACATCTATCTATCCATCCACCCAAATGTAGGAGGATGACCCCTACCTCACATACACACAAGCTAACTTGTTGACGTGTAAGAGCTAAAATAGAAAACTCTTACAAGAAAATTGGGAAAGTTTCACAACTCTGGATATGGCAATGGCTCCTTAAATGTGATGGCAAAAGCATGAGCAACAAAAGAAAAACAGAGCCGCTACCATAAATCAAAAAAATTAGCCATCCATGGTAGTGCGGGCCTGTAGTTCCAGCTACTTGGAAGGCTGAGGCGGAAGGATCGCTGGAGCCCAGCCAGTCGAGGCTGCGGTGGCCGTGAGCGTGCCACTGCACTCCAGTCTGGGCGACCGAGTGAGACTCCAACTCAAAAAGAAAAAAAAAAAAGAAAAACAGAGCAATGGAATCTCATCAAAGTCAAAGACTTTGGTGCACCAAAGAACACCATCAAGAAGGTGAAAAGGGCTGGGCGCGGTGGCTCACACTTGTAATCCCGGCACTTTGGGAGGCCGAGGAAGGAGGATTGCTTGAGTCGGCCTAGGCTAAATAGCAAGACCTCATCTCTACAAAAATAAAAAATAAAAAAATTAACCAGGCATGGTGGTGCATGCCTGTAGCTCCAGTTACTCAGGAGGCTGAAGCAGGAGGATCGCCTGAGCCTGGGAGGCTGAGGCTGCAGTGAGCCATGACTGTGCTAACTGTACTCTAACCTGAGTGACAGAATGAGACCCTGACTCAAAAACAAACATACACACAAAAAAACCAAAGTGAAAAGACAACCTACAAACTGGGAGAAAATACTTGTAAGCCACATATCCAGAATGTACAAAGACTTTTTACAAGTCAACAACAGGGAGATAACCCGATCAAACAATGGGCAAAGGGTCTGATGGAAGACATGCCCATGGCTACTAAGCACATACAAAGGTGGTCAACACCACTGTCATCAGGAAATGCAGACCAAAGCCACCAAGAGACCCCACCTCCCAGTCACGAGGGTGGCTAGGATGAAGAGGGGGTCATAACCAGCACAGGCCAGGATGAGGAGAAGCCAGAGTCCCCACGATCGCCGTGGGAAGTCACACGGTGCGGTCACTGTGGAGAAGTCTGGCAGCTCCTCAAAAGGTTAGCCAGAGAGGAACCACATGACCCAGCAAGCCCACACCTAGAAATCCACCCAGGAGAAAGAAAAGTATTTGTCCACAGAGAGACTTGTATGTGAATGTTCACGGCAGCATTACTCACAATAGTCAAAATGTGGAAACAACCCAAATGTCCATCAATGAGTGAATGGATAAAGAAATTGTGATACATCCACACAATGGAATATTATCCAGCCATAAAGAGGAAGTACTGAGTCATCTTACAACATGGATGAGCCTTGAAAACATGATGCTGGCCGGGCTTGGTGGCTCAGCCTGCAATCCCAGCACTCTGGGAGGCCGAGGCAAGTGGATTCCCCGAGCCCGTGGGTTTGAGACCAGCCTGGGCAACTTGGCGAGACCTCGTCTCTACGATAAATCAACAAGTAGCCAGGCATGGTAGTGAGCGCCTATAGTTCTGGCTACTTGGAAGGCTGAGGCGGAAGGATTGCCGGAGCCCAGCAGGTTGACACTGCCTGGGTGATGGAGTGAGACTCCAACTCAAAAAAAAAAAGAAAAGAAAAGAAAATAAAGAAAAGAAAAGAAGACATGATGCTAAGTGAAAGAAGCAAGTCATAAAAGGTCACGTACTGTATGATCCTGTTTCTGTGAAATGTCCAGAATGGGCACATCCCTAGGGAAAGAGGCAGATGAGTGATGCTCATGAGGTCTGGGGTTTCTTTTGGGGATAATAAAAACATTCTGGGCTTTGAGATGACTGGACAACTCTGTGAATATATTAAAAACCACTGAATTGAAAATTTTGAAAGGGTGAATTATGTGGTATGTTAATTAGAGCTAAATAACATTAATTTTAAAAATGGGCCAGCAGCCAACTGGCTTTTTCTTTTCTTTCTTTTTCCTTTTTTTTGAGTCAGGGTCTCACTCTGTAGCCTAGACTGGAGTGCTGTGGCATGATCACAGCTCACTGCAGCCTCAACCTCCTGGGCTCAAGTGATTCTCCCTCTTCAACCTCCCGAGTAGCTGGGACTACAGGCACACGTCACCATGACTGGCTGATTTTTTTGGTAGAGACGAGGTCTTGAACTCCTGGGTTAAAGTGATCCCCCTGCCTCAGCTTTCCAAAGAGCTGGGATTGCAGGCGTGAGCCACTATTCCCAGCCTGTTTCTTTATTAGAAAAAAACAAGCCGGGCTTGGTGGCTCAGCCTGTAATCCTGCGCCTTGGGAGGCTGATGTGAGTGGATTGCCTGAGCCCGCGGGTTTGAGACCCGCCTGGGCAACTTGGCGAGACCTCATCTCTACAATAAATCAAAAATTAGCCGGGCGTGGTAGCATGCGCCTGTAGTTCCAGCTACTTGGAAGGCTGAGCAGGTCGAGGCTGCGGTGGCCGGAGCGGCCACTGCACTCCAGTCTGGGAGACAGAGTGAGACTTCAATTAAAAAAAAAAAGAAAGAAAAAACAAAACAATTTTTTTCTTTTTTAGTCTCTGTCATACTCAACCAGAATGGCTTTGCTTCTCGTTACAACCAGCTCCCTCCACCTAGACTGGCCCCTGCTCTGTCCTGCACCATTGCTGTCAGCCCTTCCTGGGACACACCTGGACTGTGTTATCCAACATCCAGGGCTGTTTGTCTTTGGAACACGAAGGTTCCACTTTCTGACCTCTCCCTCTAAACCATGGTCTTTGACCTCTGTGCCAACGGTCATCCTGCTTGGCCTTGTTTCTCCTAGGAGCTGCTCCTGTCTTTACCTGCTCTTCTTTCATAGTTTAGACGCCATGGCAGCACCCTCAACCTTCCCTTATCAATGGCCTTGACTCTCTTGACCCTTAGTGCCCTCGGAGAAGCAAGGGTTTTACATGAGGAATCTTCTAGAAATGGTGGTGGAAGGGGGGCGGGGTAAGAAGGCTAGCTCTGATGGTCTGGGGAGTGGGCTGAAGTGGCAGGAAGGAAAGTTCTGTGAAGTGCCGGAGGACGCTGTCCAGAGGCACAAGGGATGCTGAGGTGGGAGGCATGGAGCTCAAAGGTAGGAGGGGGGAGGCAACAAGGAACGGAGTCAGCTCAGCAGTGTGGAGTGGAAAGGGGACAGGATGGATGGACACAGTGCCCTCACACTGCCTTTTGGGACTCGGCCCAGGAAACCAGGGAAAAGAACCTGGCAGGGGGTGGGAAGTGTTAAATCTACAAGTCTAAGCCCTGGGGCCTTCCTTCCCACCATGCTCTCAAGGACACAGCCCCAGTAGACAGTGGGGATACAAACCCCCCACCCCAAATGTTCTGAGAGCTGGTCAGTCACTGTGGACATAGGGAAGGGGCCTGCAGGTCTTTGTGCAGCCAAGACCAGGGCCCAGGAGCAAGATGCAGGAAGGCCTCTGGGCTGGGAAGGGAGCCATGGCCCTGCCTGCTCCTGAGCCCTCCGCCTGCGGGCAGCAGAGCATAGCTTAGGGAACTCTTGTCCAGCTGGTAAGTGCTGGCCTTCTCCCATGGCCCCCAGTGCCCCTGGCTTCCTCCAGGCACCTGGGGCCCTCACTGGCCACTGGGTGCTGGGGACACAACAGGGACAAAACAGACAAAAATCCTACCCTCACAATGCCTGCAGTCTGAGGGAGGGAGAGAGAGAAGTGCTATACAGCGCTCAGTGCTGCTCGGGGCTGGGAAGAGCAGGAAGGTGGGGAGGGCCGAGAGGGGCAGGCTAGCCATGCCTGGTGAGGCTGCACACAGAGCTCAGACCCAGGGAGGGACCTGGGCTCCGGCAAAGGCCCAGAGGCAGAAGCAGGCCTGGCGCTTGTGGGAAGAACGAGGAGACCATAGAGAAGTGAAGCCAGCAAGGGGGAAGGGAGCAGCTCCCACCTTCAAGGCTTAATGACTTTAAGGGCTACGAGGGCAGGGACAGTAGCTCATGCTTCTTGAGCTGCCCACAAAGCTGGCACAGCATAGAGCCAAGTGGCTGCAGGCGTTTGCTCACGGACTGGTCTCCATGCTCTGGGTCGGCGGTGTCGCCTGGGTCAGGCACCCACACCTCGCTCAAGGCACACCCCGTCCCTGAATTTGACTCTTCTTGGGGAGCACCCAGAGAAAGACAGACAGCCGAGGGTATGGAAGCCACATGTGGAAACAGGAACAGGAGAGAACCAGACACTTCTGTTCCTGAAACAAGCCAGGCCAGACAACAGAGACAGAGAGGCCTTGTGGCAGCTCCAGCGGGGCAACGGGGAGAGGCCCCAAGTGCCACTCACACACTGCACCAGCTGGTGGCCATGGCGAGGCCAAGAGCTGCGGGTTAGGCTTGGGTGGGGCTGGGGCTCAACTCCAGGCGGGGGCGCATATGTGTGTGTATATAACACACACACACGTATATGTTGATATTCATACATATGTGTATACGTAACCGCAAACCCTTTTACCACCAAACTCGATCAGCAGAACGTAGCACAACTGTTTAAAGCAGAGCCGTGCCTGAAGAAAGCAGGGGAAATCCCAGGAGCAAGCGAGAAGCAAGCAGCTGGTGCTCCCTTGAAATTCCCAAAGACAGACGGGGAGAGGAAGGAGGTCAGGAAGCTTGCTTTGCTTAGCCTGGGTTCCAGGTGCACCGAACAAGAGTTCCCTTCTAAGAATTTGTAATGATGTGTCTGTGTCTGAGGTTCAAACACATTTGAATGAATACTACCTGCAAGCTCAGGGATCCCCCCCTCCCCAGGCTGAGATGTTAACCTGAAAATGGCCTCCAGCTGGTTAATTACCTTGTAATGTTGGCCACAACACAAGGAAATATGGAATTACACGACCCATCCAGGCTACACCCATTCCCCTGGAGGTCTTGCGGCAAAATCCACGAAGAAATAATCCACCATGAGTGAAGACCAGCAGAAGACAAAGGTGGGTGAGGCCTGCAAGGACTTCAGACGGCCGGATCACTGGACAGAGACTACGGACTAAGTATGATTAATACAAAACACAGCATGAAAGGAGCAGCCAAAAAGAAAAACAAGTAAATAAGATGTATACAAAAACAGTCAGAAATTTCTATTTGGAAAAGAACATTTCCATTTTTTTTTTAGAAAGCTGGATTTATTAAGAGGACAGAAGAGCTCCCACAGTGGGAGGGGACCTGAGGGGGTTGCTGGTCTCTATTTCCAAAAGTTTATTTGAAACAATCAAATAGAACTTACAGAAATAGTCACAGAAATGTGAAAAAAATTCAAATTCGATGCAGCCGAAGAGAAAACTGGTGAATCAGTGAGCAGGAAGAAGACCTGGAGAGCTCTCCTGAGAATCACACAGACAGTGTTTGATGGGAAACAGTCAAGAGAGGTGAAGAGCCAGGCACGGTGGCTCACACCTGTAATTCCAGCACTTTGGGAGGTGGGGGCGAGAGGACTGCCTGAGCCCAGGGGTTCGAGACCAGCCTGAGCAAAATGCAAGAGCTCATCTCTACAATAAATCAAAAAATTAGGCCGGGCTCGGTGGCTCAGCCTGTAATCCCAGCACTTTGGGAGGCTGAGGCGAGGGGATTGCCTAAGCCTGTTGGTTTAAGATCCGCCCGGGCAACTTGGTGAGACCTCATCTCTATAATAAATCAAAAATCAGCTGGGCGTGGTAGCGCATGCCTGTAGTTCTGGCTACTTGGAAGGCTGAGGCGGAAGGATGGCTGGAGCCCAGCAGGGCAAGGCTGCGGTGGCTGGGAGTGGCCACTGCACTCCAGTCTGGGCAACAGAGTGAAACTCCAACTCAAAAACAACAACAAAAAAATTAGCTGTGCATGGTGGCACACACTTGTAGTCCCAGCTACCTGAGAGGCTGAAACGGAAGGATGGCCTAAGCCCAGCAGACTGAGGCTACAGTGACCATGAGCATGCCGCTGTACTCCAGCCTGGGTGACAGAGTGAGACTCTGACTCAAAAAGAAAAGAAAAAGAGAGAGAGAGATGAAGAGAGGCAATGAAGAGAACGAAAAGTCAAGCATGTGTCTAGCAGGAGCTCCAGAAGTGGGTAAAGGAATGAGGGCCAGGCAAGATCGGAAAAGACAATAGCTGAGTCTTCCAGAATGACTGGGGAACCTGAATATTTGAAGTCTCAAGCAGGATAAACAGAAATCAACACCTAAACACGCAGCAGTGAAAACCGCAGAATGCTACAGAGAAAGAGAAAATTATGAATATACACAGCCAAAAGAAGACAGGGCACTAAGGGAAGACAAGTAAACTGATAAAAGATTTGGCAACAGTAACAGAAGAAGCGAGAAGACAACGCCATATTGTCAAGGGGCTGAGAGAAAACAACTGTTCGCCCAGACTCCCACAGTCAACTGAACTTTAGCCTTGGAAGAAGGTGAAATAAAGATATCTTCAGACAACAAAATACCAAGAATCTCCCATGATAAAACCCTTGCTGAAAGAACTTTTAAAAGTTGTCTTCCTGTCCTGAGTACAGTTGTGAGTTTAAAAAAATTCCCAAGGGGCGCCTATGTGGAAGGAGGTAACTGGACGCAGAAAAGAGGACTGAGATGGATGAACAAAACGGTGAGTAAAGAAATCAGCAAACACGTGAGCGAGTTTCAACATGCAGGGCCAGATAAGGCGAGTGCAGAGAAGAAAAACAAAGTAAAATCCACCTCTATGCTGGGCTGCAAAGACATGGCCAACGGGGGTTGGCTCTGGCAGCTCAAGTGCTCTATGGTCCAGGAGAAGGAGGAGCTATTGATTCACCTGACTCTGTTTTCAAGTACGCATGTTCACCTTTTCAGGGGTAACCACTAACACACGGGAAAGAGAATGGGTAAGCAGCAAACCAGTAGAGGACCACAGTGGGAATGAGGAAACCCGGTTGCTGCTCCAGCCACGGGCAAAACAGGCTTTCCACTCCCCCAGGAGGCCTTGGGCCAGAAGTCTCTGCCACCTGCAACCCACAAGAACCCTGAGGGGTGGAAAAACCGAGGCCGGAGTGATGAAAGGGCTCACTCAAGCTTTTGCCCACATCTTCCCACCTCCAAATCACAGTTGGGCTGAGGACAGGGACAGGTGTGTGAGGGTACACGTGCCTGGTGAAGCGACACATGGTGTTCTGAGTTGCGGCCCCCCGCCTGGCTGAGTGGTACCAAGGAGCATGACATGCGCACAGGGCGAAAGGCAACCAGGAGACTGAGCCTCATCATCTCAAGGATGCCAGCAGGGCTCCCTGTCCCAGCAGCAGAAGGGGCAGGGGCCGGCTGAGCTCTGGGCCCTCAGGGGCAGTGGAGGGCAAGGCTCCGGTGCCCAGTCCCTCGGAGTCCTGGCTCTCACCTGACTCTGAGTAGCCGGTGGCAGTGATGATGGGCACGGCCACCATGAGCAGGCCTGAGGCGCTCCACACATACTTCATGAGGAACTGCTCCAGCATGACGTACCACAGGCGTTCCAGAAGGATCAGGTTGATCTGCGAGGCCAGGTCCTGGTAGGAGTGCTGCAGCAGAGCCAGCTCCACCTGTCCAGATGACAGAGACAGAGGGGCCTTGTGGCAACTCCAGCAGGGCAATGGCGAGAGGCTCCAAGCGCCACTCACACACGCTATGCCAGTCGGTGGCAGTGACACGGCCAAGAGCTGCAGGTTAGGCTCAGGCGGGGCTGGGTCTCAAGCTCTGAGCTGGGGTGCGTGACTCTTGACCCCTTTTCACTACCTCTCAGGTTGGGAGGCTCACCACTCCCTCTCTGCCCTGAAGCAGGCCCAGGGCAGGAAACTTGCCGAGCCCAGCACCGTTTTCCTGTCTGCGAGATCAGCTCTAATTTCTCAACCCTGAACTAAGCCAAGATTGGCCCAGGAGAGCAAAAGCCCATGCTCTCGGTTCCAAAAAGCTCGGTTCAACAGTTTTGGCCTCCTTAGGCCCTGTCCCCCTACTTTCCCACAATCCTCTTGGTGAGAAACTTGCCCTGGGTTTTCCCACTGGAACCAGGAGGCTGCACTCCCAAGTCAGGCCCTATGGGTCTCGCCCCTGTGGGCAGTCCCACAGGCAGGCCTGGCTCTTCCTTCCTCAACAGCGGGTAGGCCTCCCCTGCCCTCCTGTCCCCCTTCTTGCACCGGCCACCACCTGCCACATCAGGGCGGGGACACAAGGGGAAAAGGAGTTCTGCAGGGAAGAGGTGGCAGCAGCAGTCAGATAGGCAGAGGAGGCCAAAGGTGTTGGGATGTGCTCATGATAAGGTGTCGGAGGGGTCATGGGTTTCCTGGCTCATTCTGGAGATGCACGCCTCAGCCTTGCCTCCCCATGCCCACCAGACTATAGCTGCCCAGTCTGGCACCATGCGCCAAGTGCCTTCATGTGTCTCCATTTGATTCCCACCGTGTCCCACTGTCCATGGCTCAACAGAACGTGGAAGCCCAGAGAGGCAAAGTGACCCGACCAAGCCCACACAGCCTGGTGACAGCAAACAGTGAGGGAATTTGGACCACACTGGCAGAGCTGGTAGATTCTTGTAAGTGATGCTTTGACTTATTAAGAAAGGTCTACTTAGTTCTCAGCAAGAGGTTGTGTGTGTGTGTGTGTGTGTGTGTGTCTGCAAATATGTTCCAATAAGCCTCCTTGCTGAAAACCCAGCGAGCACAGAGTATTGTGCTGCTTGTCCTCTGGTCAGTCTGTCACTCCTGCCCTGACCTGCTGATCTGGGCCCAGGCCACGTACACGGGGGCGGGGGCATCAGCCAATGGGACTGGAGTGGGATAGGACACATGCCTGCACAGCAAGGGCGATCAGCCTGCCTGTGGGGGCCCATCATCCCACACAGTTTTCCAGCCGCGGTGACACAGACAGGTCACGGATGTGCGTGGGGCCCTCCCGCCCTGGCAAGCCAACCCTCTTGGCCAATGTGCCACTTCCCTAAGCTAGCCTGGAGGAAGTCCTTGCAAGGAACAGCCATCTCTCTGCTGCTCCCTATCACCCAGGTCTGCCCAGAGCTCAGCTTCCCCAAGCCCGGTCTCCCATTCCTGAAGTGAGCACGCCTCCTCTGAGCACCCTGACAATCCAGGCTCGTGCTGGGAGCTGGCAGGAGTACCAGCCAAGGCTGACAATGTAGCTGCAGGGAATGTGCCAACGCCTCACCCAAGGCCACGGCTGCCTGCCAAGGCCCTGCAGCCTGGCGTGCGGGAGAAGAGGCGAGCAGGAAAGGGGCTGTGGCGGTCGCCAGGTGCACTTTCTCCTGATCTGCAGGCTGGGCCGTGCTGGGGATGCCCCTCTCTGTGGAGTCTGGGGACAAGCCTGCTTTTCTGCCTGGTGCACAACCAACGAGACAAGGTCCCGGGGCAAGAGGCCACCTGACCCAGGAGCACACACAGGCCTTCAGGAGACGGATGCCATTGTCCCCCTCCCCCCAAGAAGCGCTCGGGAACCGAAACCGACTTGCAGAGGGCAGGGCCTGAGGCAGCTGCAACCCCAGGCACGAGGAAGGGGAGGGGCCGAGGCGAGATAAAGGGAGCATTGGCCTGGAGTAACCTTTCCAGCGCCTGCCTGGCTGGCCCTGGCCCACCAGGGAGCTGTGTGCTGGGGACACAGGCGGAAGGGCGGCCACGCCAGGGGTAGGGCGGCTGACGGGCAGGCAGGAAGTGTGTCCCGCTGTGGTGGAGGCCTGTGCCGGGCATCCCTGGTTTGGGGGTGCGGGGAGGCAGCTGAGCCAACTGGTAGCTGGGAAGGCCCGCGGGCTCAGGCGGGGGTGGCCATGACCCTAAGTCCCACCACCGCTGGGGCCGCTGCGCTGGGTGCTGCTCGTTAAACTCCGCTTGGGCTGAGTCATGCCCATGATGCCTGCCTGCCTGGCCGGCCAGCTCTGCCGGACGCCGGCCTTCAAAGGGCCCAGGGGCCCAGGAGGGGCTGGCCAGCAGGCCTCGGCCCGTGGTTCCCGCTCCCAGAGGCAGGCGTTTCCTCCCGGCTGGTTGCAGGAGTGAGGCGACCTGAGCTCAGCATCCCAAACCGCTAGGATGGCAACACTAAGTCCACCACAAGACAAGCTCGAGGGGGAGAGGAAGCAGAAGTGGCCTGGAGCGCCAGCGGCTGGCACCGGCCATCCCGCCCTACTTCATCTCCATTTCTATACCCAAGTGCACCCGCCAGGCCCTGCCGGCCGTCCCCTCGCGTGGCCTCCCCACACCTTCCTTCGCATGGGTCTGCCGCCCCGCCCCGGGCTTTCCCTGCTGCCCCGGGCTGCCTGCCCGTGGCTTCGCGCGACACGCTCTCCGTGCAGGCGCTCAACCTGCCCCACCTCGTGGCCCCCATAGAAGGCGATCTCCTCCGAGTTGGCCACCACGCGCGAGTGCATGTAGCGCAGCTCTCCCTTCCGCCGGGCCTCCTCGGCCACCAGCTCCCCAAACTTGGGCGAGAAGGCCCGCAGCACGTTGGCCGTGAGGAACACCACGAGGCCGGCGATGGCCGAGGGCCAGGCTGTGCCGGCTCCGCGGGAGCGGGCCGCTCGAAGCAGGGTGTAGGAAGTCACGGCCACATCCAGAAGTGGCTTGGTCAGGTTGGAGTAGAGGTGGGCCACGGATGCGGCAAAGGCCACCACGTCCTCCGTCAGAGACTGGTCCGGGTTGCGAAGCCGCCCGTCCATGTTGCTGACTCGGTAGTAGGTCTGCTGGGCGAAGTAAAGGCTGTAGGCGTGGGCCACCAGACGGCTGCGGAAGGACAGGGCCAGCTGGCCCTCCAGGTAGCGGATGGCACTGTTGATGAAGGTGGCGGGCAGGGCGATGAAGAGCCACTGCAGCAGCTGCCAGCCGAAGGCCCGCGGGTCCTTGCGCACGATGCAGCGGGCGAGCCTTCCGTCCAGGCGGGCCACGTACACCGACAGAAACGTCCGGCTCACCAGGGCCCCCGAGTGCAGGGCCAGCAGCCCGGTCTCCCGGCACAGGACTCGGGGGAACAGCAGCCGCAGGAGCCACAGGAGCCGCTGCAGGAACACCCGGTTCATGCCGGCCTTGGCCGCCGAGGCCCCAGGCGCCTCCTGCGTGGGCTCCCTGGCCAGCCCCGGTGGGCCCCTGGCCGGAGCCAGACACTGCCGCACCAGGGGGTAGATTTTGTGGACTCCATAGGCCGCCAGGGCCAGGACCACGGCCGTGCGCTTCAGCGTGGTCACCCGCGAGGGCCGAGGAGTGGAGAGCACCGGCATGTCACCTGGGCTGGCAAGCACCGGGCTGGGACCGTGCCTGAGGCCGCAGTTGAGGCAGGTAGCTGGAAGGGTTGTTGCTCTGACCCCGGGTTCGTTGTCTAGGCAACTGGAAACCTTGCGGTGGTCCCTGAGACTGTCGCTTTAGGCCCCCGGGGTGGTGCTGGGGCCCCTGGTGCGGTGGGCTCGGGGCCCTCCAGGGTCGCGGCCTCTTCAGGCAGCCCAAGTGGAGGAACTTGGCTCCCACTCCCGTCAGTGCCCCGGCCCCTGGGGTCAGAGCCTTCGGAGCTCCTGGGCAGACAGGGCGTCTCTTCCTCTCCACCTCGTCCTCCTCCTCCCCTGGTGGGGCCCCTCCCCGGGGCACCAGGCGCGTCTGTACGCTCCGTAGCCTGGCTGAAGCGACAGCGACTCCGCCACCAGCCCAGAATCCCCACCCACCCACTCCTCCCCAGGGGCGAGTCGGGGGAAGGGGAGGAGGCGGAGGAGGGGCGAGAGGCG